CCCAGGACCTCACTTGCACTCCACCTTTAATTGTATCTGTTGTCCTCAAGTCAAGAATCTTTCTGCTTCAACCTTTCCAGAATGAAAAGTTTAGCATTTTCTTGGCATGGAAAAGGAGCATAGGACAAAATAGAATATGTAGAAATGTAATTATCTCTTATTCAGACTTTAAATCAAATCTCTTATTGTCAGTCCACTTATAACCCTCTTTCAGAGGTAGAGCTGGTCATTCTAATTCCTGAACATTTCACAATTAAACAGAATACATTTGCTTGCCTCTGGATTCCCTCCACTATCAACTTTATTTCTATTTTGTATCACCATTTATCCATCCTTTTTCTGTTCCCAAAAATGCCAATGTCTTTATAGCTATATTTCCATTGTTATTTTAGAGGAGGAGATATGTTTAAGTTGGGATCTCTCTCACATTTTAGAAGGGTGAATAGGAAAGAGCATTAATGGGAAAGGCAGGTAGTATGGGACCTGTTCCCTCAGCTGGGATAGATCACAGTGGCACATACTGTTAACAACAATAAAACTGGACAAATATATGAATCTGATGTTTTCAGGTTTAGGACAATAGACAAAGCAACACAATCACTCCAGTTCTCTGGCTAGGCAATCCTTGACTGTGGTGCAGAGAATTGGAGTCTGAGCAGAGCATAGTGGTTCCATTTAGTTGAGGAGGCATAGGTCAGAGTTTGAAATTGTTGACATATCTAACATATATATAGCAGAGCATCAATGATAAAGTAATCACGGGCAGAAATGTATGGAGATTCCCTGAGATTCCTAGGCCAAGGGCTGTGTTTGCAGGGAGAGACTACTCAAGATTAATAATAATAATAATAATAATAATAATAATAATGAGCCTATTATGGCATCAGAGATACTACTGTGTTTCCCCGAAAATAAGAGATCCTCCTAAAATAAGACCTACTTCCAGGTTTCCTTCTGAGTGAAATATAAGGCATTCCCCCCAAAATAAGACCCCCCTAGGCTCTGTCTCAGAAACTTTGTGAAACCTAAACTGCAAGAAGTTGTGACTTGGGTGAAGAATTCATGGGAGAAAATCACTGACAGTTGCAAATGCAAATGCACTGAGAGCAGGCTACCTTGACAAGAAGTACTCATTTAAAGACAGAGCTATTGCTAAACATGAGAGATTTGGTCCACTGACTCTGAAAGAAATGGAGTCACAAGAAATTCACCAGAAAATTCAGGAATTGGATTGTTATGATGATGTTCCAGAAGATGATGACATGATTGTCATTGAATAAATGAGTAAATTCTTGATACTGTAGGATTTAGTTTGTCTGGTTTGTGTTGACAACTACTGTACTACCATACCGTATACAGGTAATAAATTTCCTTTATTTTCATTTAACAATAAATGTGTACCGTATTCTTCTTCATGGAAAAATAAGACATCCCCTGAAAATAAGACCTAGCACATCTTTGGGAGCAAAAATTAATATAAGACACTGTCTTATTTTCAGGGAAACAGGGTAGTGGGCAAGCAGTGCTAGGGGACATTGGTGTTCCAACCCATCCAGAAAGGAAAGACCTTATTAACATCCAGCTAACTCAGGAGACAACAGAAAACTACCTTGGGAATAAAGACAATGCCCTAGAGAGTGAAGTCTATTTTAGATATGCTTTGAGAAAACAAACAAACAAACCAACACAAAACCTAACAGCAAGTCTGGATAAGAGCACAGAGGAACCAGATTGAGTCCTACTGTATTGGAAGGGCTTGGGAAACACCTTGGGCTTTTCACAAATTTGTTCTTAAAAATGTGTAAAACCAAGTCAAGGCAATTTCAAGGTAAGCAAGAAATTGATGTGTCTCTTAGAGGAGAAAAAGTCACCAACCTTCAGAGGACAATAATAGAACACGATGATATATTTACAATATCCAGTAATCAGTAAAAGTCAGTACACACACAAAACAGGAAAAATATGTCAGAAAGCCAAGAAAAGCAAAGCAATGAAAAACTGACCTCAAGGCCCCTTTACATGGTTATTAGTGTTACTTTAGCCAGTTGTTATTTAAGAAACCACTGTGGTAGGTTGCATAATAGCCTTCCAAAAAATGTCCTCTTCCTAATCTTTAGAACCTGTGAATATGTTACATTACATAGTAGAAGGGACTTTGCAGAGGTGATTAAATTATGGATTTTGAGATGAGGAAATTATCCTGGATGATCTGGGTAGGCCCAATGCGACTGCAAGAGTTTCAATTATAAAATGACAGCAGAATTAAAGAGAGGAGGGGTTTAGATAGAAGCACAGGTCTGAGAGGTTTGGAGATGCTGTGGAACTGACTTTGAAGATGGAAGGTGGCTTATGGAAGCAAGAAAATGCAAGGAAATGAATTCTCCTCCAGAGCCTCCAAGAGTAAGAGAGGACTGCCAACTCCTTGGCATTAGGCCAGTGAAACTGATTTCAGACTTCTGACCTCTGGGAGAGAGAAAGGTCGTGGTATAATTTAAGCCACTAAATTTGCGGTAATCTATTACAGCATCCAGAGAGAAGTAACACAAACAAGCTGCTTGATTTAATAGACAAATATGTTAAAACAGCAATATAAATACATCTGAAGAGTCAAAGAAAAATATGATTTATTTAGTGAATAAGAGAGAATTGTATAAGAGAAGTGAAATTAAATGGAAATTTTATAATAGAACAATATAACAAAAATCTCTCAGGGTAGCCTTATTGATTCTTTCATATCCAATTTCTGTCAGTTAATAAAAAAAAAAGTAGACATGCAAGGAGACAGGATCATGTGACCCATAAACATGAGGAAAATTGCAGACAATAGAAGCAGACTCAAAGGTAATCCAGATATTGAAGTGGACAGATAAGGACTTTAAAATACCTTTGATTATTCAATTCTAGAAAATATTTAAAAAAATAGACCAAAATAGATTATAAGGGAAAGAAATTCACTGAAATGGTAGAACTAGTGAGAAGAATTCAATGTAAATCCTATAAACAACAAAAAATATAATATCTGACATTAGGAATTCTTCTAATGGGTTTAATATATATATCTATATCTATATCTATATCTATCTATATATATATATATATATATATATATATATATATATATATATATACATATCAGGATTAATAAAAGGCAGATCAATAGAAAATATTTAGATAAAAGTGCTGAAGGAAAATAAAATAAAAATTACAATTTAATTTCTTCCTGCAGCTCAATAATGGAAAGGGCTCTCAACCTTAGGCATTTTTATATTGCTGGCCTTGTATCATTTGCTATCATTTGGGCTCATTATATAGTATCAGGAAGATTACATTGAATGGTGTTGCTGGGTAGAATTTAAGGATAAAATTAGAACAAGAAGTAATGTTTAGCCTTAAGTGCTCCAATATGTTGTAGTTATTTTTTTAAATATAGTTTTATTTATTTTTCAATATATTTTTATTAATTTCAGAGAGGAAGGGAAGAGGGAGTGGGAGATTGAAACATCAATGATGAGAGAGAATCACTGATCTGCTGCCTCCTGCAAGTCCCACATTGGGGGTCGAACCCACAACCTGGGCATGTGCCCTGACTGGGAATTGAACACTGACCTCAACTTGTGGTTATTACCCCTTCTGGGGGCCTTCTGGAGGGAAACTGAAATGGCCTGCACTGGCCAGGAGGACACACAGGCACCAACGGGAGAAGCATGGTAGGTGTTGATTGTTGATGAAATTAAGGCATGGGTATGTGAGGTCATTTTGTCACTTTCTCTAATTTTGTGAATACTTAAAATTTCCATGATATTAAATTAAAAAATGAAGTGAAGGAGTTACTGTGTCTCCAGATTTCATAGCAGGTTTTTTTCTGAGTTCCCTGCACTCAGAGGCAGTGAGCTTGACTTGAGCCTCCAGTCCTTGTGCAGACAGCACGCCAAGCAGGCAGCTCCCTCTCTGGCAGACAGTCAGAGCTCTGCCTTTTGTTCTTACACTTTCTCTGCCCACAACTGGGCATGTGAGGCAAGGTCATTCCGGTCCCATTCTGGCCTTGAAAGTATCATCAATCTCTTTTTTGGCCTCAGTTCCAAACTGCATCCTCCAGCACAATTAGCCCTGAACAGCCCTGAACTCTTTACTTTGGAAAATAAAACTTACCCTTTGAATCCAATTTAGCTTGGATCTGTGTGATTATATTCTCTCAGCAGAACCCTGGGAGGCAGACAGTCATCTGAACCTGACCCATAACTGCAGGGAACAAGCCAGATAAGAAAATGACAGAACAGCTGAATCCAAGGAAGGTATTTTGAGGATAAAGGGAAATTATACATGTTCCCAAGCTAAGGTCAATTATCCAGGGTAATAGAAATGTTAAAAAATGGAGAAAGTGGGATTGAGTGTCAGAGGAGGTCCCTAAGAAAGCAGAATAAGGACCAAAGACAAAGTAGAAGAATTAATATCAGAGATGATTTATTGTTCTGTAAATTGATAGAAGGAAAGGGATAAAAGAAGCTAGAGAGACAAGTTGAGATAGACATGAAGGAGATTGAAGTGATTTTTCTCAGGTGGGTAAAATCTTTAAAGTAAGAAGGGAGAGAGGGAGAAAGGGAGAGAAGGAGAGAGAGAGAGAGAGAGAGAGAGAGAGAGAGAGAGAGAGAGAGAGAGAGAGAGAATAGATAAGAAGGCGTTTATGCCCTGGGCCAGAATAACAACAACAGCGGTGCAGAGGTTAACCTGATTACATTTTGGTGTTTGTCCAGGAGCTGAGCTGGGTAGTGGAGAGAGGAGAACTACCTAGTGTCCAGGTTCCAAATGGACCCTTGAATGCTACTCCATGCCATGTAGCCACATGGACAGGCATACCTGGCCCTCCAGTGAAATAGCTTGTTCCATAGGCTTTAGTGAGGCCCAGGAGTAGAGAAGATGGCTTGGAAGGTGATGGGTGGAGAGAATTTTATCATCCAGAATGCTCATGTAAAGAACTATTGACTTTCCTCTTTCTTATCCGGGCATGCCTGGCAGAGGTCCCTGAGGAGTGCCCTTAATTAGGTCTATATCAGGTGTAATGTCCGAGGAGAACCTGGCAACCACAAAGAGTTCCTTTGGTAACCTTTCTTCTGCTCAGATCATCTACTCCAGCCTTATTCTACAACTGATTCTTGGAATTATTTTTGTTTTGTAAACATAGAGAACATAAGCTTCATCTAAATATAATTGTGGCAAAGCTGTGTTTTCACAGAAAAATATTACCAGCCGATCTAATGATTTTAAAATTAGTTTATTAATTATATCAACACATTTGCTCAATGTATAAATATTCAGACTAGGAATTTGCTCTGATATTTATACTTAGTGATAAACATAGAAACAATTCAAAAATAGCTTAGTTATGATAATAGAAGTCATATTTTCATGATAGTCACAAAAGAGAAAGGTATGTAAAGAGAATTAGTATTTCCAGAAATATTTTCCCACAGAGAGAAATAACAAGTACGTTAGATTTATTTAATACACAATATATACATGTTATTTAAAAGTACTTCTGTCCCCCAAAAGTTCCTTCACCCCCCCCAGAACACGTTGGTAATAATTAATATAACTTGATAATTTTTATAAATCTAATAACAACTTGGAAAATGGTCTACAACAATAAATATAATACCCCAATTACCTTGCAGGTATTTATTTTAGTCATTTGCATTGACATCTTTGAATATCTCAAGTGTATGATACTGACTTGCTTTAACCTACAAAATTGGCTAAAGCTTAGTGAAAAGCAGAGTTTAATCATCTCAAAGAAAAATTTTTAAAAGAGGTTTAAAAATACAAAGTGTAAAAAAAAAAAGAATATTGAAAAAGATGCAAATAGTGTCTTGAATAGTCTTGGGGTTCAGTACAAATAGGCCTCAGTATGAAGGAATATAAAACCACGAGTGAAAGCTGGCTTTCTCCTACAGGTGCTAACTTATTGAGACCTAGGGCAAGTGTTCTCCGACAGGGCCCTGAATTTAAATAGTTCCACTTGCACAGTTTAACTCTTTACTGATAGGATGTATCCCATTCTTAGGTCTACCCAAGGAAGGAAGTCAACAAATGGTTGCAAAGGACTCCTGGCAGATCTGCCCTGGCCTTGACACATGAATGCACGTTATTTACTGAGTCCCACTGAAGGAGATATTCTGGAGTAATTAGAAAGTGTAGGGGAAGTACCAGTAGGCTTTGGTTGGGTGAATGAAGTTTGTCAAGGGTTGTTTGAGTAACTGATTTTTTTCGCTGGCTCCAGGTCCCCACTCGCTTTGCATCTCACCATTGAGCAGATGGCCTGCTGAAAGTTGTCACTGACCACCACATACAGTAACAGGTTACCAAAGGTGTTCAGGGCGGCTAACGGTCTGGAAAAGATGTACGCTTCGTGGATCTGATTCTCAACGGAGCAGCTGATAGAAAGCAGGCGCGATTCGATCCGAAGGACCCTCAAGATGTGGAAGGGTAAAAAACATATATAAAACACCAGCAGTAGCAGGATGGTCAGCCTCCGAGCTTTCTGCTTCAGGCCGCTGTGAGTCCTCGGCCCTCGGTTCAGGGTGTAGATAATCGTGGCATAGCAAAGCGTCACTATCACCAGGGGAAGGCAGAAAGCCGTGGCGGTCAAAACCAGATTGTACCACTTGATGGCGGCGAGGTCATCTGAACTGCTGAGGTCAAGGCAGGCAGAGCTATTGGTCCTGGTGGTGGATGTGATCAGGAAAGTCATGGGAATGACAGCCACCAGGGAGATGATCCACACGCCAGCACAGGCCACCACGGCCCACCGAGTCCTGTGGATGCAAAAGCAGCTCATCGGGTGGCTGATCACAAAGTAACGGAAGATGCTGAAGCAGGTGAGGAAGAGGATGCTGCTGTACAGGTTGAAGTGGAAACCGAAGCGGATGAACTTGCACATGAAATGCCCGAAGATCCAGTTCTCGCCGCTGGCATAGTAGTGGATCAGGAACGGGAGGCTGGTGAGGTAGAGCAGGTCCGTGCAGGCCAGGTTCAGCATGATGACCGTGCTGCTCCTCCAGGGCCGCATCTTGCAAATGTAAGTGGCAATTGCCACCGCGTTCCCCGGAAAGCCCACCAGGAAGATGATGCTGTAAATAACCGGGAGGTAGTGCTTCTTGAGTGGGAGTTTTTCATCCGTGCAATTTCCAAAAGCAGCCGCATAATCGGGGAAATCAGAGGCATTTGCAAAATTGTCTAGTGGCTCATTCATGGCTGTCTCCTTTCATCTTGTAAGAAAACAAGAGACAGCAGTTTGGCAATACGAATCGACCGAGAAGGAGCTCGCTGATAAAAGAAAGCAGAAAACATTAACGGTGGGGTAAGGAAAACATTGATCCACTTTTAAATGAAAATTGCTCTAACATTTTTAAATTGCCACTTTTTTCCCCCCTCTCTCTTTCATCAGGAGATGAAATTGAATTCCTAAGAAAACCGCCATGAGGCAAGTTGCTAAAGACATCTAATAATAATATAAAAGTTAAATTACCTCGGGAATGAAAATGAAGGAGTGGGGAGGAAAACAGCCGCATGGAGAAAACAATGTGGCAAGATTTCTGTTGGGCAAGCCACGGGGTCTCATCATTACAGATTCAACAAGACCCGCCATGAATCAAGCACTTTACCTCCTTACTAGACAAAACGCTGAAGAGTGTTTCTTATTATAGCCTTTCCTTCCACTGAGGAAAGGAAGACTGAGGGAGGTTATGCAACCTAATCCTGCAAACACGTCCAAGGGCAGGGCCAGTCCATACTTGTCTGATTTTGCAGCTCTGCTCCTTCTACCTTACCTTACTATGCTGCCTCTAAAAAACTGACAGAGCAGAAAGCACAAAGGAGTGAAAATACTGAATACTAAAAATGTTTTAAATGTAGATTTCTTGCATTGCACCATTGTATGTATATTGTAGATTTCATTTCAAATTTCAGCTCTTCCAAACCATGTTAATAAGCTAATATAATTTGTTGGTGTGTGTGTGCATGGGGGGCGGGGGTTGTTACAGAAAACAGGAGAAGAACCAAGCAATGCTTAGAGAGATGGAGTTACATTTATTACTATTACTATTATTATTATTATTATATGTGCAGGCCCAGAGGAAAATGTCTCTCAAATTCTGGGCCCCAACATGGAGGAATTTTCCTTATTTACATGTTTTTACCTTCTTTGTCTCCCAAATATGGGGTGTTTCCAGCCTCCTTTTGCAAGTTCTTAAAGAGCCCCTATGTGCTGGGGCTTTGAGACCTCAACCAAAGGCTTGGCCTGGTGCCAGCACTGATAACTTCATCTGGGGAAGGTTTAATGGCCTCTCTGGAGTGGGAGTAGTCTTATTTTCCTTATTATTTAAGCAAGCAAGCATTTACAGAAGCCAAATAGCAGGGTTAAAATTTCAAAGAGCAGGTATATATATATATATATATATATATATATATATATATATATATGATGGATGCTTCAGGGCGCGGGGCGGGGGAGGAGAGAGGAGGAGCGGGGGTTGGTGTTATTGGTGGTAGAAAAGAGGAGGAGCAACAGTATCCCAGCCTTAAGAGCTTGGGCTCTGTCACCAGATGCCTGACTTTGATTCTCAGTTTGGTCGATGAGTAGCCAGCTGTGTATCCCTAAGCCAGTTGTTTAGACTCTCTAGGGCTGGGAGGAGTGGGATTTGAACTTCCTTCTTTTTGCTTACCAGTGTTTTCTAAAATTTTGAGAGTGAATTTCTGCAGTGAGAAAAGCATGAAGATTCTATAAAAGAATTACTGACAATTAGCTTATTATTTGAATGTAAACAGCTGTTGGTAAAAATGAATCCACTTCACATTTATGGAGTGCCCACTGTGTATTAATTAGGCACGCTGCCAGGTCTAGAGATACGAAATGAATAACACACAAATGTACAAGCAACTATCAAAGTCTACTGGGGGAGATGAACACAGAAATAATTTAAGCAAATATAACCTTACCTCATAGAGCTGTCAATAAATATTAAAAGAAAATCAAGAAAAATACATGGGACACTGCCGGGCACAGAAGTGCTCAATAATTGTTAGGTAATTGTTAATCACGAAGTCCTTTGATAGATGAATGGTACAAGGCTGTAAGATATAAAGAAGAGTGGGAACAGCTACCTGGAGAATAAGAGAGGGCATTAAAGGAAAGTTACATGTGAGGGAACAGTAAGCCAACATAGCAGGAGTGCAGGAAAGTATTCTAGGCAAGGAAATAGTATATGGCAAGGCACCTGCATATGACAGAGCTGAGGAGGTCCAGGAGAACTCTAAGTAGCTCAGCATGGCTGCTATATTAGGGGCATTGGCAGATGAAGCTCCAAAGAAAAAGAATAGCCAATAATAAAAATAACAATACCCCCTGTGTACAAAGCACCCTTCTGAGTATCTTACGTATGTAAATTCATTTAATCCTGACAGCAACCTAATGGAATAGTTCCCTCATCACCCCCATTTTACAGGTGAGAAAACTGAGGCACAGAAAGGCAATGACTTGCTCAAGGTTACCCTGCTAATCAGTAGTGAATCCAGTTAGAGAACAGGGCAAGTCTGTTTGCAGAGCTGGGCTGCCTCTCACAATGAGTAGGCAAGAGGGAAATAAGTGCTCAATAAATCAAACTTCTAAATTATGTCACCCAAGGCTAAAATGTCAATAATAATGGTACCACTTTGGGTTGAGAGAAGACTAGATGAGTTAATCTACATAAAGTGTTTTGAAAGGTGTGTGGCGCATCTGTTATCAGTGCCTGCCACCATTACTACTATTATCTGGTAATAAAATCTGCACCATCAAGTTTTTCCTTGGTGTAGCAACAGAAATACACTTCAGACCTGCTCATCTTGACCAATCCAAAATTAGTAGAATCCTTCCCTGTAGGTTGGTGTGGAATATATTCTTCCAGATCTCACGTTGGGTGCAGACTAGAAAGCATTTAAACATTTATTACTTTTATTCTGAAAGAATTAGAAAAAGAACAGCCCAGGGAGGTGTAACTTGCCACTGGGCAGTTGTTAGGATCCTCATAAGAGAAACCAGTGCTCCCTGGGACCAGGCATGACCTACCCGAAGTGAATACTTCTCTCCTTGTCAAGTTAATTGATGTTCACTGGCCATGCTCTTCATAGAACCAGCACCTACACAGCCATGGAGATGACAGAAGTCAGGCACTGCTGACCAGCAAGGGTGCTGTGAGGCAGGGAACCTCAGTGAATGGCTTCTCCCGTGGCCAGCACCAAGGGGAATGGGCTCATGCACTGAGAGGAGGCAACAACGGAAATCCAACGAATATGGCCACAGTCGGGGAGTTCCTGAAGCAGCCCCTCCCGAAGTCAGCTCTTAGCAAATCAGGATTCAAGTGCGCAGTGCTTATCTGTCAACTCCTTGAAAGCATAAACAGGAGTCCAACACCCAGAAGGTGTTTGATAAACTTTTGCTGAATACATAAGAGAACAATGAGCAACATCCATCAAATTTATCTGGTGCTGAAGGGCTAGTGAAGCAGCAATTATTATTATCATTTTTTTTTAAAGCATGGTTCTTTAAATAAGGGGCAAATTTAATTTCTGTCATTGCCAAATAAACCTCTGCAGTGTGATGGGCCGTTTTAAACAATAATCCTATCAGGAAGAGACAGGTTGTGAGTAGAAACAACTACTTTATTATTTGAAAAACAACCATTCAGCTTGGGATTTAATGAAGCTGACTGACCAATTGTAAGAGGGGAGGAGCTATGAGATTTAACCCCTCTCCCATAAATCTCACCCAAAGAATGGTTTAAGTTTACAAAATACGTGTGACGTTAAGAACAGCAGACAAGCACTGTTCTGGGCTGTGAGCCAAGTAGAATGAGGCAGTTTCTTTCCTCGACAGTCCCAGGTCCTGTGCCATTCACTGCTGCCACCCAGAGCACTGGATGCCCACCAGGAAAGTATTTACATTCAAAGGACATTAAAGAGTAATGTGATGCATTCCCTATTCTTCACCACAACAGTGGATCTCAGACCACCTAGAACTGATGGACGTTTCATAAGCTGGAAATAATGATTCCTCGTGTCTCAACATCACCAGATATATAATTCTGACCTAGCCAAGATGCCACACAAATAAAAGCAAACACTGAAGACTTGGGGAAATGTTATAAAGGAAAAAAGAAATTATAATTTTACACTCTATTTTTTTTCTCTCTGAAATTGGAAAGGGATGGTGATTGTTTGAGGCTCCATGCAGGTATCAGGGATTTGGGAACACATAGCCTGAGGACCATTATCCTAGTGCCAGCCTGTCCATGAACCTCACACTGGGGTAAAGGGCGCAGGACCAGAAATGCTGCCACTACTCAAGTGGCAGCTTTTACTTTTCTGTGGCCATACAGTATTCCTGCCCATTTGGTGGGAACAAGTGAAGTGGGATTACTGATGGCATGTGATTATTTTCAAGGATGTCTGTTAATTTTGTAATAACAATCCTTCTTCCACAGGGCCTCCCTCGACCCTAGCCCCAGCATACACCCCAGGTGTTCCTGGTGCTCTCCAAGGCTGAGTTCACATCCCATCCCTCCTCCTTCTTCCAAGTTTCCAGTGGACCAGTGGCCAAGAAACTTGAACCTTTGTGCCTCTCACCTTCCCTCAGCGCTCCCGGAAACTCTACCGTCGGGCTCCCTTTTGGTTACCAAGAAGAAACCTGGATAGGCCTTCCATTCACAAAGATTCACGTTGGTTTCCTGATCTACATATTTGTAAACTCTTTTATTTCCTACCAGTGGAAAACAGACCAGTCCTTAGCTCAGACAAACCTGTGCCAGTGGGTGACTATTGTCCTCCCTGAACCCCCGAGAGAATCTCTCCCTCCAACTTCTCCCCAAATCCCAGCTTTCAAATAAGAATCAGACCTTCTGAAGACATAGACCATCAGCACATCCCTGTTGACGGGCCCAAAGCTGTGCGTTTAGCTATTTTATCGTTGGGAGAATCAAATGAAATTTATGGAAGCTCTCCTAAAAAAAAAAAATGCACACATAGACACCAACATGTTACATACAATTGGGAGGTTTGGAGACAAACTTGTTTGCTTAATCTGTAGCAATGAAACAAGGCAAGACAAAAGAAAGGCATAGGAGAAGGTTTTGTCGCTTTGTTCATTTGAGGGGTTCGGGGACAGGAGTTGTAGGCCAGCGTCTCTGGGCTTTGCTCATGATAAAAACCCACAACAATCCAGTGTGATCTAAAAACATATTTGCAGTGCAGAATCAATCAATCAATCAATCAATCAATTGGGGTAAGAGATGAACTCTCTAGTTTGTCCCCAAAGTCCCCCAACCAAAGGCACCATGCTTGGTGGTGAAAAAGGCACAAGATAGGATGACAGTCCAGAACTTCTCCAGGTCTGCCTGAGACAAACCTCTCAACATGCCTTTTCCCCAAAGGCACCCCAGCTCCCTGCAAGGAGGTGGAGTGCTCTTGCTGCCTCTTAGAGAAGTTGGGGCCCCTCTCTGTCTGTCCCTGGTCCTGCCGCAGGGACGTGTCCCCTGACTCTTCCTCCCCCTTACCCCCTCCATGGTCAAGGCCCCCACGCCCCCACGCCCAGATCAGCACATGTCCCCCAACCAGGCTCCCTGAGGTCCGCAGGGTCCCGCTCCCAAGTCGCAGCTCACCTGGCACCCTGCGCGCGCTGGAGTGGCCTTGGCCTTTGGAGCGCGGCTGCTCCCTGGCGGTTGACGGTCCCCATGGAGGCAGCGCACCACCCCTGCCCCGCCCACCCACCAAGCCCAGGGAGGGAGCAGGGGCGAGCGCAGGTCCGCCCCAGCAGACTGCAAACGGCATCCTATCCTCCTTTTGCTGCTTTCCAGACCAACGCGGGGACAATAGCTTCTACTCCCCGTGATTCCTGGACATCCTTCACACCATACCGGTTTTCCAAAGGGAGTATTTGCAGAGGTGCAAACAAGGACTGGCAAGAGGGCTTCTTGCCTAGGAGGGTGCCAATCCTGTTGTCTAAGCCCAGAAATATCACCTGCTTGCCCACCCTTCAGGGCCTTTTATTTAGGCTGGTATCCCAGAGCCCAAGTGAGGAAGAGCCTCCCAAGCTGATGGTTGGGGCAGCACTGTTTTAGATATTTTAATTATCATGCTGACCACTATTTTTATTTGGGCCCCAGCCTCTTCTGGGAAATATTTTGCATCCAGAGGAAAATTATTCTCCAATTTTACTACTTTTATCACTTCCTCAATTTGTCGTGTGCAATTACTTGACCCTATTTATTTTATTTTATTTATTTATTTATTTCAGTCTATCCACACATTCACTCAATAGGCTGTTCCTGCTTAATTATTCTATACCAAGCATTGAGGAGATAAAGAATTAGACATGATCTCTGCCTTCCCAAAGCTCATGTTCTTGGGGGGAAAAAAACACAACAACTTAATTTAAAAGGTGATTAAAGTTTGACCCTAGTAAATAAGGGTGCTGTAAGTGGTCATAACCCGTGTAATAAAGATAAAGAGGGGTCAGAAAAGGCCTCTGGGGTGAAAGACATTTGAGCATTCCCCTTGCTGTTTGTTTAATGCGTACAGATTTCCAGGTAAAGAGGACATTGCTTCAAGAGAATTTTTTTTAACTGTGTTAACATTTTTATTTATTTTTTGTTGTTTAAAGTATTACAAATAGTAGTACATATGTCTCCTTTTTTCCCCAATTGACCTTCCCCCAGCTTCTCCTACTCTCTGGCACATGCCCTCACCACCTTCCCAGTGTTTTGCGTCCATTGATTATGCTTATATGCATGCATACAAGTCCTTAGGTTGATCTTCAAAATAATATTTTAAAACAAATATTGATTCCTACAATTTTAGATGTGGAAGGGACATTTAAAAATACCAGTCCTAGAAATGTAAAATATCATAATGGTTCCTCACAAACTTAAAAATAGAATTACTATATGATCTAGCTATTCCACTTCTGGGTATACACCCCCAAAAAATTGAAAATAGGGATTCAAATAGATATTTGTGTATCCGTGTTCATAGCAGCATTATTGACTATAGCCAAAATGTAGAAGCAACCCAAGTGCTCAGAGGTGAATGATCAGATAAGCAAAATATGATTTATCCATTCAATGAACTTAGGAATGAGATTCTGGCACATTCTACAACATGAATGAACCTTATGATAAGTGAAATAAGTTAGTGACAAAAGGACAAACACTTTATGATTGTACCTATATGAGAAATATAGAGTAGTCAGATTAATAGTGACAGAAAATAGCATGGTGGCTGCCAGGGGCTGTAAGAAGAGGGAATGGGAAGTGTTTGTTTAATGCAGGGGTGGGGAAACTTTTTTCTGACAAGGGCCATTTGGATTTTTATAACATCATTCATGGGCCATACAAAATTATCAACTTAAAAACTAGTCTGCTACATTTGGTCAAAAATTTAATTAGCTCAGCCCTAATAACTTGGCAGGGCTTGGCCAAATGATTTTGCAGGCCAAAGGTTCCCCACCCCTGGTTTAATGGGTGTAGAGTTTCAGTCTTACAAAATGAACAGCGTTCTGTGGTTGGACGGTGGTGATGGTAGTGCAACAAGGTGAATGGACGTAATATCACTCAACTGTACACTTAAAAATGATTAAGACAGTAAATTTTATGTTATGTGTATTTTACCACAATCTTCAAAATTTTATTTTAAAAATCCACTCTTACAGTCTCACTTTGCAAAGGAAAACACTGAGAATTAGAGAAACCCAAGTTACAAACATGAGGACAGGGCCAAAGGGAGGCTTGTGTAAGATCAAAGCCACCAGCCCTGTTCTTACTATCTACTCTGAGCTGGGGGTGACTGGGCCACTTGATTGAAGGCATTGGTTTATCAGAAACATTGAGCTATAATCCAACACTCTAAAAATTGGCTCCTTCAGCAAGATGATTTTTATGAGTTGTCTTTTTTATATTTTATTAGAGGCCCAGTGCATAAAATTTGTACACAGGGGTGTGTGTCCCTCAGCCCAGCCTGCACCCTCTCCAATCTGGGATCCCTAGAGGGATGTCCGACTGCCTGTTTAGGCCCATTCCTAGTGGGCAGTCGACATCTCTCTCACAATCCAGGACTCTGGCTCCCAACTGCTCGCCTGCTTGCCTTCCTGATTGACCCTAACCACTTCTGCCTGCCAGCCTGATAACCCCCTAAACACTCCCCTGACAGCCTGATTGATGCCTAACTGCTCCCCTGCCAGCCTGTTTGCCCTTTATTGCCCTCCCCTGCAGACCTGGTCCCTCCCAACCGCCCTCCCTTGCTGTTCATCTTCTGGCTGCCATCTTGTGTCCACATGGGGGCAGTCATCTTTGACCACATGGGAGCAGCCATCTTGTGTGTTGGTGTGATGGTCAATTTGCATATTACTCTTTTATTAGATAGGATTGTTTATCTGTAAATATTACTTCTTATTATAACTCAAAATCCTCACATAAGAGGGATCATTTGTTGGAGAAAATAT